TTTCTACAGTTCTGTGATCTTCCCAGGGAGGCTTCATATACAGAGAATCTAAATAAGGGTGTCTCAAAGAGGAAATCTGATCAAAGTCTTCAGATAAGGGTCTTTGACTTCACTATTGAAGGAAGGAGTGGCTGAAGGGAATATTCTAGATTGCTTTTAATTCCTGCACATTATTCATACCTTGGTTATTTCTTTTTTCCAGTTTCCATAGTTACTGGTATAAACTGAAAATACATATGAATTGTGTAGAGTGAGACAATGGAAGTTGGAAAAGAAGAGCAACCTTAGCATAAAATAATAAATGTAGGGACAGAACTATAAAACTAGAATTTCTCCATGAAAACCAACTATTGTATTTCTTAAAACACATGGTGCCAGGATGAGAATTGTGATTTTTTTCTTGTCAAATTATGTGACAGTGGCTAAATGTACTAAAATTTGTGGAACGATTTTTTACACCTATAGAAACAATGCTATTTAAACTTGTAACAAATTATGTGCCATCTATGAAAAGTCTATGGCATAAGTACTTAATTGCTAACATATGAGTGGTTCAATCTTCTATGATCTCACAGTTACCTTTTTTTAAGAATATCACTTGATAAACTGTGATTTTGCATTTCTTCAATGTCCTGCAGGACCTTTAAGATCAAATCAGGAATATATCCAAAAAATGTAGATAGCCTCTAGAAGCTGGAAAAGGCTTGAGAACTGACATTTTTGTTCATTAAGCCCTGTCTCAAGATTCATACCCACCAGAATCAAAATAGAGAGAATAACAAGTGTTGGTGAGTTTATAAAGAAATCTCAACCAACATGTTATTGCTTGAAATATAAAATGTTTCAGAAGCTTTGGGAAATAGTTTATCAGCTTCTAAAAATGTTAAAAAATAGAATTATTATTCTGATCCACAGCTGGATATCTACCCAAGAGAATTGAAAACTTATGTTTGTATATAAATGCTCATCATAGCATTATTGGTGATAGTCAAAAAGTGGGAAAAAACACAAATGTAAATGTAAAAAGAAGTAGAATGCTGAATAATAATAATACAACACGGATGAATCTCAAAAACAGTATGCTCCAAGTTACACTCAGGTGGTTGGAAGAGAGTTCTCAAAGGAAAGTTATGGGATTCTCCCTTTTTCTCTTTGTATTTCTGGTTAAGTGTTTTGTTCATCATGTACTTCTGCCACACATGTTACCTTGGCACAGGCTCAAATGGATGGAATCAATTTATAACATGCCAGTATCTGCAAACTATGAGCCTGAACAAAATTTTTATCTTCATAAGTTAATCATTCCAAGTATTTTATTTTAGTGACAGAAAGGTAACTAACACAGAAGCTAAAATTTGCCTGATTAATGGGCCATTTGTATCATTATATCACTGTTGCCAGACTCATCAAGTGAATGGAACTCAGATAGGATCTTACAAGTCTGTGCTCGTGCTCACTGTGTTTTGATACCTGAAATGTCACTTGTGTTATATAGATTCAGTTTCCAATGTCCTAAAAACTTAACTTGTCATTTGGGCCTTGTGGCACACACCTATATTCCCATCCACTTGGGGACTGAAGCAGAAGGATAGCAAGTTGGAGCCCAGACTGTGCACCTTAAAAAGAATCTGTCTTTAAAAAAAAAAAGTTAAAATTGGAAGGGCTGGACATGTATTTCAGAGTACTCCTAAGTTCTGTTTCTAATAATGAAACAAAAGGAAGAAGATATTAAAAAAATAATAAAATAAAAAACAAAGAAAGCTATTTCCGTAAAATATTCCTGGATAAAAATGGTGGGTTTTGTTCTTCCAAAAAGTTTATTGCAGTTACATGATCTCCAGCCTTGCATTATCTATATGCTTAACATTTTCCATATCATATTCTCTTTTAAAACCTGGAGGTAGTCCACATTATCTACAAAGAATTTGTTTTCCTAACTCCAGATATAGTTTCTATTGGATAACAACGCTATCTACTCACTGTTTCAATCAGTTACCACCTTATGCATCTACAAATTTGCTGCTTTTTTATCTTTTTATACCTTCCTTCATCATGTACAATAGATGATACCTTAGTACTTTACATTAATTATTTGCATATAGACAGAGAAATTTATATTGCTTTTTCTAGATTTGCCATATATTCATTAGCATTGAACTCAGCCAGCTTATCTAACAGTTATTTTTTCCATAAGGCACAGTACTACTTCAGGGACACTGGCCTGCACTTCACCAATATATTTAATGGCCACTTGAAGCAGCAAATGACCAATAGAAAAACACAAAAATATTTATAACATTCCCTAAAAGACTATGTGAAGACATCTGTATATAGTATAAGAGATGAAAAAAAAGCAGATACTTTCATCCTGATTCAACCTCACCTGTGCTTTTCACAGCTATAAAACACAATTCTGACAGATTAAAGAGGAAAAGTACTATTATAATTTTATAGCTGCTGGAAAAAATTCACATGACAGAATTTAACATAGGTATTCAGATTGACACATTTTCCCTTCATTTTCTATTTTACTCCTCGGTATTTCTAGGATTAATTTTTGAGTGGTGTGTTAACTCTGTTAAAAAGAAGAATTGAACCTATGACAAAGTTTATTAGCTTTTGAAATATAAGCAACAAAACAGAGTGTCTATTTTAAGGAATAAAACATATAGTGTTTTGATATATGTACTTATGTAATCATTTTCACAATCAAGGTAATTAACATATCTATTACTTCACATAATTGTCATTGTGTGTATATAGTCTTTAGAACTACTCTCTCAGTGAATTTTCAGTATATGATAAGAACATGATCATTAACCACAACTAGTATGTTGTCCACTAGATATCTAGAACACATTCATTTCATAATTCTGAGATTTAAACTATAACCAACAACTGTCCACTTCTTCAGACTTCAGCCCCTGGCAACGATCATTCCACTCTCTGTTTCCTCTAAGTTTCACTTTTCTAATAGAATACATTTCTTTCTTTGTCTGGATTATTCCACTTAGCATGACATCCTTAGTTTCATTCATATTGATACATATGGAAGGTTTGCCTTCCATTTTAAGATCCATGATATTTCATTTTATCCTACTACTATAATTTATTTTTCACTTTTCTGTGGATAGACACTTAGGTTGTTTACATACATGACTATTGTGAATGGTGCTTCAATGAACATGAAAGTACAAACTATTTTGAGGTCTTTTAGTTCTTTTGTGTTAGGTAGAATCTATATTTAGTGATAGTTGTATATTAAATATCTGAGAATATTCCATAGATTATTTCAGACATATTTGGAGACACCCAATTATTTCAAAATATAAATGATGATCAATTATTTGCATATTTATAGGGATTCTAACTAGATTCTGTGATAAAGCTTTCAAAAATCAAGTTTTTTTGGAGAAGCTACAGAATTTACTGTAATTATTTTATACTTGTATTCAACAAACGTGTATTGAGGCTCTACTTTTGTAAGGGACTACATTTAGAGAGACAAAAACATAAAATATATCAAACCACAAGTTTCTTACTAAACAGAAAAGAGACACACATTGATTAAAATATTTTCCCCATTTAATTAGTTCTCTGTTAAGAACATTACTGAAATAGCTTGATGGAATTTTTTTTACTCTGTTTCTACAGACATAGAAAAACTTCATAGAAAAATTGACATGTAATTTCAATATCTTGTGACATTTCCCAGTACCATCCCCAAGCCATGTTTCAAAAAATTTATTGTGTTAATCACTGATATTTTAACTGAATACCTATTAAGAAAAATACTACATTTCTTGAATAATACAATTCTATTTCAAGGTAACTTTTTCTCCTTAACAAATTTATTAAGTACCTTCTCTCAAGGCTAGTATGCAGCCAATAAATTATATTCTGAGGATAGTACCAAAATTATCAAAAAATTAAATATTGACCTTATATTTGGAAATATTAACTTCTTTCAAAAAGATCAAATCACTTCTTCTTAGAAAAAGTTTTCTGTTATCCAATTATACAAATCATTTGGTAGACTTCTATGGAGCTTTAATTATATTCTAAAATCCTAGATTTTTTCTTATAAAATTCAGTATTTTATAAAATCAAACAGAGAAACTCATGTCATGTTGCTGTAAAATTATTAATGGGAATTTCTGAAATTTGAGGGAATTGCTACAGATCTATGGAGGGTAGATGCAAATCATATATCATGATTCGCTTTTAAAAAATTTTATATGCTTAAAATAAATAAACTTATTAGAATAAGTAGTTACTTAACACTGACATTAACAAAATGAATAGTATGAATATTTATTAATTCCATAAAATTCATGCCAAGTATGATATCAGAAATAAGTAATATAAAAGGTGATTACATTGTGATTAAGACAAAGTCGAAATTTTATGTAGGTGGAAGGGGTGGATGAAAACAGAAAGAAATATAAAGTATAATTTAAATAGGCAAAGAAAATTGAGCAAAATTTAAGATATCACTTAATTGATTTAGTGTCTCTTATTCAAATTTCCATGTTTGTCAAGTTAAATTATACTAACTAGTACATTTAAAGGGATTTTATGATCTGTTGCAACAGGGGAAAGCTATAATGTGGTACTGAAGTGGAAAATTGGTCATGTATTTCACCTAATCCCAAGGGTGTATCAGTCATGGTAGTGCTTTACACTGTGGTCATATATTAAATTTCTTTAAGACTGAACAGACATTCCCAAAAGGCTAGATTGCAAACTAAACCCTATGTACCTATTAGCATTATTGTAACTGAATAAAAGCACCTAAATTTCTGATATCCTCATTACTCACACTGTAAGTTCCATGTAGAGATAACAGGAAAAAAGAATCACGTTTCTATATTGATGCTTGTGGCAATTGCATTATATTTGATTTTCTTCTGAAAGCAGATTAACATTGCTGGAAATTTGGGAATCACAAACTTGAATAATTAAAATAGCTCTCTTAGAAGATTTTCCATCTTCTACTCATGTCTGCTCTTTCTCACTCCCACCTCAATATTTCAACATTTGTTCTCACTGGAGTTCCTGGTCTAGAAGTTTACTCCCTCTGGCTCTCCATCCCCTTCTCCTCCATCTATGCCATGGTGTTCCTGGGAAACTGTACGGTGCTCCATGTGATCAGGACTGAGCCAAGCTTGCACCAGCCCATGTTCTACTTCCTGGCCATGCTGTCCCTCACGGATCTGTGCATGGGACTGTCCACTGTGTACACGGTGCTGGGAGTCCTCTATGGGTTCATGCAAGATATCAGCCTGGATTTCTGCATTGCTCAGTCCTATTTCATCCATGGTCTGTCCCTCATGGAGTCCTCTGTCCTCCTGGCTATGGCCTTTGACCGCTACATTGCCATTTGCAACCCTCTACGCTACTCCTCCATCCTAACCAATGACAAAATCATGAAAATCGGGGTGGCAATTTTGTGTAGAAGTTTTTCATTCATTTCTCCTGCCATCATCTGCCTGAAGTTCTTAAATTACTGCCGTCCTCACATCCTCTCTCACTCTTTCTGCCTGCACCAAGACTTACTTCGATTGGCCTGTTCAGACATCCGCTTCAACAGCATCTATGCTCTGGTTCTGGTGATCATGAACTTGCTGCTGGATGCTGTGCTCATCATAATCTCCTACATTATGATCTTGCACACTGTCTTAGCCATCGCATCCCGGGAGGAGAGAATGAAGTCCTTACAGACCTGTGTGTCTCACATCTGTGCTGTTTTGGTTTTCTACATCCCAATCATTGGTCTGACCATGGTTCATCGCTTTGGCAAACACCTCTCTCCTCTGGTTCATGTCCTCATGGGCAACATCTATATCCTTTTCCCACCCTTGATGAACCCCATTATCTACAGTATCAAGACCCACCAGATACGAAGGAGAGTGCAGAGGTTGTTCTCCTTGAAAACAGTCTAAGTCTTGAGTTGCAATGTGAATATATTTGGAAGTCAATGTGTACAGTTAAGAAAAGTTGAGATTCAGTAAGTAATTCAAAATAGATTCTCTAACTTCTATTTAAATGATTGTATCCCCGATTTTTCACAGCTACCACAAATCTATGAAGAATTTTATAAATCATAATATGTATGTTGAATAAGAACCATGTTAATGTCTTAGATAATTTTTGAAAGTAAAATTCATACTGATTAGGGACAGATGAGTGAAGGTATATTTTAGTACATGGATCAGGAAAAAGGTAAATTTTGATGTCTAATTCCCTTTAAATAGTTGCTGAAAGACCAACCTTTATTTTATCCATTTTTGTTATTCTAAGCAGCATTTTTGTGTTTATCCATATGCCCTATACCACGTTCAGTCACATGGCCATTTAATGGACTAAACATCATAAGGAGACTGGACTTCCTAAATCTTGTAAAGAGTACTAAAACAAACAATAAGTAAGCTTGATGCTAGATTGTCCACTAATCCAACAATTGCCCCCACCCCCAGTTTATGTGCAATAATATAACTGAAGATAGGAACAACCAGCAAGTGCCATAGTGGAGGAAAATAGAGTTTTATTATTAGTGTCTTTATCGAAATTGCAATATCAACAGTAATTAATATTTAAAAATTATTATTTTCATTTATCATTAATCATTTCAATTCCATTTCCATTAAAAATAGTGCCTAGATTGTTACAAAGATCAAGTAATATAAATATTCCTTATATAAGCTCTATATAAGAATGAAGTAAATATTAATTTCTTTGATACAAATTGATTTTTTCTAAATACATATAGGTTCAGAGGTTTACAAGATGAGATTTGTCTATTCTGTCTCACTTTCTAATTTCAGCATAGATCCTTCAGTCTTACTTTTCTTCTGGATTTTTACATGAGGGGACAGAAAGAAATATATCCCTGAAGCTCTGACAACTTAGCAGAGAGGGGTGACTGTGTACTGAGGAGATGTAGAGAAAAACATAAAGAAGGGTGTGAGTACTTTTTAGCCATAACCTTTCATCTAACCTCTGTGTCTCAGCCCACCTTTGACTTGCCCAACCACCAGTTTGCAGGTAACAGAATCTTTGGAAACTGGAATTTTCATCTTCTGGTTAGTAATTTAACTGGTGAAGCTTTACATATAACATGTTGAGCTAAAGGAAAAGAGGTTATAAAATAATACACCGTTTTGTTTTTATAATATCTGAATGTATGGTAGACATTGATGTAGGTCCTTTAATACACTTGCCATTTCCAATTTCATGAGTGCTAAACAGACCATCTGGATTTGAGGAAACAAAAGACATAGAAGTGTGCTACGGAGACAAAATCCCTGGTGATTTTTCACCCATGCACAGGTTAAGATTTGGCATAGGGATCTCTAATCACTGAAATTAAATCAGTCTAGAAAAAATACTGTTTATTTGTCATGCATGAGAGCATACCTTCCAGCCGGACAATTTGCTTGATGTTTTTAGATTAAGTTTGTGACATGCCTACTAGCCTACTATATAAGTTCTTTAGAAAGATTGTCATTTGCTAATAATGAACTCTTCTTGAAATTGGACATGAGCATCATAGATGTAAGGTGATCCATTCACGTGCTATTGATTTGTAATAAAGTTGACAAAATTGAAGGAAAAAAGAACTATTTTAAGAAACATGTACTGCATAAATGGGACATCAGTATCTAAACAAAGTGATCTTAAGAGTTCTGATTACATATATGCAAAAATGTACTCTGAAGTGATCACAGATTTCTAGCAATAGCTAATCTATCTACACACACACACACATCTTTGATGGTACTAAAAATTATACTAGAGATTGTACTCAGGTGATCATGAGTTTGCAACTGCTCTATCACTCAGCAATCAACACACCAGGCCTTTTCATTTTTATTTGTTTTTTAATATTGAGACATGGTCTTGATAAGTTGTCTAGGCCGAATTATCCACCATTCTGCTCAATCTCCAAAGTAGCTATAATATGAGGTGTGTACAGTATATATCTATAAAACTTTGGTATAAAACATACAAATAAATCTTTGTGACTTCTCTTAGGCAACTATTTATTAAGTATGCCATCAAAATATGATCAACAACAGAAAAATGTAAATTATGATCAAGAAAAATTATAATATTTTGTACTTCAAAGGACATCCCCTTGACATTGCAAAGAAAAGCAATAGACAGAAATAAATATATTTGTAAATCATGTTTTTGATAATGGAGTCATAGCTCTTCTAATTAAATAATTTAATGATAAACAATATTATACCATCAATCATTAGTCATTAGAGAAGAGCATATCAAAACTCAAGATTCATACCCACCAGAATCACCACAAAGTAAATAGAATCACAAGTGTTACTGAGTCTCTTAAGAAATCTCAACCAACATCATTTGTTGGTGGGAATACAAAAGGTTACAACAGGTTTAGAAAATAGTTAATCAGCTTCTCAAAATGTTAAAAAAGTAGAATTATTATTCTAACCAACTGCTACATATATGCCCCAAAGATTTGAAAACATGTTTGTATATGAATGTACACCATAGCATTCTTGGCAATAGCACAAAATGTAAAATAAAATAAAATAAAATAAAATAAAAACCAGAAATGTCCATCAAATATTATCATATAAAAATGTAGTAGATACATTCAATAAAATATTTTCCACCTATGAAAAGATATGGAATACTGAGTAATGCTACAACATGGATTAATATCATAGTATACCCATTCAATGTCAGAGTCAGGCATAGAAGGTGGGTCTTTCACATGAAATTGCAGGACCTCTGCCTTTTTCTCTTTTGCTTCCTGGATTCTGAGTTCAGTGTTTTCATTCTGCCATGTGCTCCTGCTGTGGTATGGTGCCTTGCCACAGGGCTCAATAGATCATGTACCAGAGTATACAAAGCAGTGAACCAAAATAATCCTCTCCTCTTTGTAAGTTAATCATCTGAGTTATTTTGTTATCATAATGGAAAGCTGCAAAAGACAGAAAAGGCAAAGCTTTACATGTGCAACAGGTAATTTATCATAGGAAATTACTGCTTTAAATTCTCTCCCAGTGGGTTGAGTTCAGGTATTAGATGAATATTTATTTCTCCACCTATATATACTAACAGTCAAAAGGCATGCACTTATAAACTAATCTCATTATCAACTGAATTTGTGGTATATAAAGTTGACATAAACAATGCATAGAAAACTGCTGCTATGGAGGGTTCAATTCCTATCAGCCTGTGGCCAATAAATTTTACCAACTGAAATCCTGTTATAATATATGTTTATATACCAATGTCCTTGTGAAACAAACAGTTTCGTCATTATCAAAAATATGCTCATCCTCAAAACTTTTTCTTGATAAAACTTAATGATGCTCTTGTTGGTTTTAATTTATTTTGCTTTCCCCTGATCTGCACCTTTGCCTTGTCTATAATTTCTCATTCCCTTTTGAATCTGGGGAGACAACCAGCAGCAGCCTAGATGAGTTTATTTTCCTGACCCTGTGTATAATACTGAGCAGCCTAATACCAACGTTGTTCACTTCACAGTTTAGTCAGTTGTCACCTCATGTCTTGAAATATTTTTGCTTTTCCATATTACTCATATTTCCCATCTATATAATAAATGTTACTTCACCACTGTTCGTGGAAATTCTTTATGTGCAGAATGGGGACCTTTGTTTTCTGGATGGAACATATTGATTCATCAGCATTGAACACATATTTGCATTATAACTCATGCAAATGGTGAATGGTGTTTGTCTAACATATTTTTTCCCTAAGGAACATTGCCATTCTTTTGTACTTAGGAATTATTCACACTTTCACCACTTCCCTTGGAGGGCATATTCAACAACAATTACCAATAAGAAGCACAAAAATCTTTACAACATGGCACTAAACGACCACGTGAGGACATCTGTGTGTGGTATGAGAACTGAAACAGGAGAGCAGAGCATCACCTGGTTCAGTCTCACCTGAGCTCATCAGTGCTATGACACTCAACCCCGAAAGACTGAAGAGGAAAAACACCATTGTAATTTTGTAGCTTCTGTACAAAATCAAATATGACTAAATTCAACATGTGTCCAAGTTCACACATACTTTATCCACGTTTTCTCTTACTAATTTATACTTACAAGTAATAATCAATCCTGGAGAGGATGTGGGGTAAAAGGAACACTTTTACACTTTTGGTGGGATTATAAACTAGTATTTCCACTATATAAGTCAGTATGGAGATTCCTCAAAAGACTGGACATGGAATCACAGTATGACCCAGCTATGCCACTTCAATAAGTATGCTAAAGAATTAAATTCACAATAATACAGTGATACACACATACCCATGTTTATAGCAGTACAATTCACAATAATAAAATCTTGGAACCAGCCTAAGTGTCTATAAAGGCATGAATGGATAAAGAAAATGTCTTATATATATTCACAATATAATTTTATTCAGCAATAAAGAAAATGAAATTATGACATTTGCAGGAAAATGGAAGGAACTAGAAACCATTATCTTAATTGTAATAAGTCAAACTCAGGTCAAGGGTCATATGTTTTCTCTCAAATTTGGAACTAGAGAGGAAGAGGAAAAAGAAAGTTGAGGCAGATCCCATGGAGGTCAAAAGGAGATCAGGAGAGAAAAAGGACCAAAGGGTGTAAGTCAGATGGGGAGAAAGGGGGAAGTGCTGAGGAGTGATATTGGCCAAATTCTATAGCTACATAGTGTGCCTGTATGAATATGAAATTTAAAAATCCCATCCTCATAATGCACCACTACAAAATGTGAAAAAAAAGTGTGAAAGTTTTAGCTATAGTCAGTATTGGACCATCTAATTACTCTCTTATTCCCTGGAAACTACCATTTCTACCCTCAATTTCTCTCAGTTTCACTTTTTTAGGTATCAAATTTAAGGGATATTATGGACCATTCTCTTTTCCTTATGTGCCT